TCTGAGGAGATTTCTATGACTGTAGTTTCATTGAGCCTCTGTGCCTAAGCAGTACTTATTCCTATACCAGGGTAAGTAGAAGAATAAGCTATCTGATTGGAACAGTAAGAATATGACTTCTTTTATGCATGCTTTTTATGGGGTGGTGCTCCTCCATTAGAAAGCCGGGAGCACTTGGTAGTCACCATCTCTGTCACACAACATCATCAAAGATGTCTGTTCCCAATGCAAGCCTTGCTTTGGTGTTCCTCCTCAAGGCAGATTTGGAAGCATTGACAGTAAAAATCCTATCAACCTGCAGAACTAAGCTACATGCTTAACAGTAAACTTCACCAGTGATAGTAAACCCAAGAGTTTCATCTCCATCAGTGACAGTTAATCTTGGTTATTGTCTTGTGCAGGTTTAGCACCACAGCAGAAACAAATACCTGAGTGAGTCTGTGAGGGCATTACCAGGGTCTAACTGAGAGAAGATCCACTCTGCATGTAGGCAACACCATCTTGTGGCACAAAGTCCCAGGCTGTAGAACACAGAGAAAGCAAGCAGAGCACCGGCATGCATTTCTGAGCTTCCTGACTGTGGATGCAATGTAACCAGGCTCTGATAGCCACTACAGACACTCTTGAGCGACACAGCTTCCATGTTTTTTTTTGTTTTGGTTTTTTGTTTTGTTTTGTTTTTTGTTTTTTGTTTGTTTGTTTGTTTTTTTGAGACAGGGTTTCCTCTGTGTAGTTTTGGCTGTCCTGGAATTCACTCTGTAGACCAGGCTGGCCTCGAACTCAGAAATCCACCTGCCTCTGGCTCCCAAGTGCTGGGATTAAAGGCATGCGCCACCACCGCCCGGCAGCTTCCATGTTTGGACAGGCCTCACACTCTGAGCCAAAGGGAACCCTTCCTTTCTAAGTTGCTTTTCTCAGGCATTTTGTTACAGATGCAAAAAACTAACACATCTATATGGTTCCTGTGTTATGGTCTCAAATTCTTCTTAGCTCAACAAATAAGTGTTGCTTTCAGTCAAGAAACTCATGCCCTTCTCATCGTACTCATCTCTGTGTCCAAAGAACATTATTCACAGAGGCCGTTTCTTACATATACGCTGTGTGCTATCTCTGCTTGCAGCTTTGTTTGTGTTGCCACTGACTTTTTACAGAAATCTTGTATGACTGGTTCTGCTATGGTCTTCATTATAAGTCAGAAATGGAGCAAAGGTTTAGGCAGTTTTGAACATTTTCATGGAATCTTAGACTCCATACTTCCTGGTGTAGGGCTGAGCCTCAGGTGTAGGACTAAAATGGAGCTTTCTATCTAAGATTGTAAAACCAATTACCACACAGAACAGCAAACCCTGGAGTGAACGATTGTACAAACTCTCTTCTCTGAGCCTTACACCTCTTCGTTACTAATAAAGGCCTGTCCCCAACATCTTATTTTCAAGCTGACATGTATTTGCTTGTTAAACTGAGAGCTGCCACCAAGCACACCCCATAATCTGCTATTGAAACAGATTGTCCAGGGAGAAGAGCCAAAGTAGGTAAGAAAGATATAACTGTGAGAAAGCTATCCCTGATCCCGAGAGTTGCTCCTCAGTGGCCCACCAGGGTCCTAAGTGGCTTTCATGGCAAAAGTTGAGTCATTCAATTAAGTGATATGATCTGCCTTTCTCTTGGCTAAGTGATTATCAAGAATCCTTCTGCTGGGATTTGGCCAACAACCTGGAGAAGGTAGACCATGGGAGGTTCCTGAAGTCTGTTTGGTTTTTTTCTTTGCAATTGTTAGTATTAAAATCACACTGACGAGTATCTGTTTAGCTGAAGGCTGGGCAGGAGATTGCTAAGGGTTACCAGATGCATACAGCTGGCTGAATAAGAAATAGTTTTACTTTCCAGTGCTGTGGTTCTAATCCCAGTGAAAGCATTCTAAACAACCTGTGTAGTTTGCAGAGTAGCCCCCCAAAAGTTCTCAATGTAAAATATCAGGATAAAAGTTTCCCAATAGTATTCTCTACAGTGCCAGAATGAAGGATGAAGCATGACTCGGTGCTAATGATGGGGTTGGTCATTGAAGCCCTATGCCAAGTCTTATTCACTGTGCACCCTTTGCTGTGTCCATACTATTTAGTCTCAAGGGTTCTGCAGCCAGGTTTAAGTGCATGACTCTTCTATCCCTTCTTCAAGGTATCCAATCCTTGCTGGATATTGCCCTATGGATGAGTAGCAGGCACTTCAAACTGTATATGCCTTTCATCCTCTCTCCATTCTTCCTTGTCTCTGGCCAACAAAGTCAACTTCCAAGAGTTCAGTTCCAGTTATGTCATCGTCTCCCTCAAAATCTGAGTTGACGCTTCACTATTCATATGGCAAAAAGTAGATTTACTGGGACAATATTCACAACAAATCTCAGCCTTTTTTATTCTTCTTGTGCTCTATATGGTAATTCAGTGCTCCTAAACCTTTCCTTACTCTTCCTCCAGGAAATCTTTTTAAAACTAATCATCCTTCCTGAAATTTTAATATTATTGATATACTGCATATTTATCTACCTATTTATTATATGCATATCTATATGCATATCTTTGCTTTATATATAAAAAATAGTAACACACACACACACTGAAAATGTATGCTCTAGGCTCAGTGTGGTGGTGCATGCCTACAATCCCAGAACTCATGAAGCAGAGAGGGGAGCATCAGACATTTAGGGACATGCTTGACTACAAACCTCAGCTACAAGGATTTTGAAACTGCCTTGGGCTACACAAAACCTTGTCTCAAAAATAAGTAGATAGATAGATAGATAGATAGATAGATAAAATGAAAGAAGGAAAACATGTTTTATCCAAGCAGATCAAGTACTTAGTAGTCCTTGTATATGCCTCTGTACTTTTTAGCTTCAAATTTGTGCTCATCATGGTCACTGATAAATGAACCAAAGGATATGGGAAGATCCCACTGGTGCACTTCTGTGATCTAGCCCACTGCTGTTCTTGCCCAGAATAGACTCATGTGTCTTCTCCCACCTCCGTCTGTTTTCTTCTTGCTCAAATCTTACTCCTCATGCTTCAGCCCAAACTTCACTGACCCACTTAGCTAGAATTAATTTCTTTTGTATACTCCATGGCATTTTTATACTCTCATTATTTTTAATAAATGTATAGTGTGTGCACACACGTACAAGGAAACCAGACGCATCAAATCCCCCTGGAGCAGGAATTACAGTTGGTTATGAGCTGCCCAACATGGGTACTAGGAACTGGATCCAGGTGTTCTGCAAGGATAGCAAATACTTTTAACTTCCAAAGCAGCTTTCAAGTCCACAGAATTTGTTTTATTAAGTAATTATATCTCTATCCATGCTAAGTCCCTCACTGGATTATGAGAAAGAGTCTATGTTGTTTAGTGTGTATACAGTGGCTTCATGGAACAGGTTCCAGAATAGGTTAGCTGCAGTCAGTATACTGATAAAAAACGGGACAAAACTCCACCACTACCTGCATTAGAAAGTCAGTCCATATACCTAGTAAAGGAACAGCAAGAATAACTGAACAGTGTGTGCATGACAGCCTTCCAAACTGCCATTATTAACATGGAGACAATCTATGAGGGAGTTCTGTGTTGTATGATATAGATGAGTAGAATGGATCCCCACTTCTTGCAGACAATAGACACCTACAAAAAGTTGTTTCAAAGGCTGTCTCTTCAGACATGCCATGAGTGATAATCAAGACAAGGGACCAGCGGCAAAAGTAGTCTTTTTTTTTTTTTTTGGTTTGGTTTTTCAAGACAGGGTTTCTCTGTGTAGCCCTGGCTGTCCTGGAACTCGCTCTGTAGACCAGGCTAGCCTCGAACCCTGAACTCAGAAATCCGCCTGCCTCTGCCTCTGCCTCCCAAGTGCTGGGATTAAAGGTGTGCGCCACCACCACCCGGCAAAGTGGTCATTCTTTACTCTATAGTTTGGACTGTTTCTCCTTTAGAGGAGTGAAACCTTATTTACCATGAAAAGATGGTATTTGTGAACATACCTTGTAGATACTAGTGACAGTCACAATCACATCAGAAAGGACTAAATTAAGGGTGTTGGGGGCATGTGTGTCTACCAAATTGTCTTTATGTAAAGATATAAGTTTTCTGGAAAGACATTCATCGTCTTTTTAAAAAACAAAACACATGTATGCACATCTTTTGGAAATACCTGACTTTACTATGTTGTGGAATAATTAGCTTTCTAGGAAAAGCACTTCCTGTGGTTGCACAGAACTGTGATTTGCCTTCTAAAATGCTGTAAGTGGGTCTTTTTGTTTGTTGGCTTTTCAAAGTCTGAGAATGACTTCCTATGAGACAATGGGACTGTGTGTGGGACAGAGATGGCAAGTTCGGCAAATAATTGATTTCTAAGGGTAACCAGTCCTTCTGTGAGTCCCTCTGAGACAAAGTGAGTTTAGGTTTCCCTGGTCTTAATAGAGTAACACTTCTAACTCTCAATCTCCTACCAGTTTTCCTGTTCTCAATCATTGAAAGTCGGGATTAGTCGTGAATCTTTCTCCTTCTCAGTCTTTCTTCTAGCCAAGCTCAAATTCTCCCAGCAATAGCCAAGCAAATACTTGGGAGCTAGCACTTAAGGGTAAGCCTCCCTTAGAGACAGAATTATGTAGGCTTGTTTGCTTAACAAGTCACATAGAGAGTGGGAAGGGAGGGGGGGGAAGAGACGCTGTAAAGCCCGCCCCGCCCCCCAAATGCGATTGGCTCCTTTTCTCCATTTAGTCACTCACTTTGCATCTCGGTTGGACAGGTTAAGAGAAACATGTCATTAAGGAGTTGTCAAAAGGAGCCCTGTATGTGTGGGCTGGTCCCGAGGTTTGTGGTTTTAGCTTTTCAAAGCGCGGAGCTATTATGGGCTATGGGATCAAGTTCGGGGAAACTAGTCTTCATTATCTTGAAAAATGGCTTTGTAACAGGAGGCGCCAAGGAGCTTAAGTACACATAACTCGCACACAGGAGAGAAAATGACGAAAGTTCCTCAGGGGTTTGATTTCAGTTTCCTAAACGAGGAAGAAGCCAGGAAGATCCTCCAGGTACTGGAAAGAAATGAGGAACTCCGGAGGGCAGAGAAGGACAGGATCAGGTATGAAGCGAACTCCTCCTCTTGGGCTGGGCCTGCATCCTGCTGGCTTCCTAGGGAACCTAGGGACACCTGCTGGGACCCTGTACAGGTGCTGCTTGGAGTGGGAAAAGGGAACCGACGTAGTTTCTGTGGGTCTCCAGATGCCTCCCTGGCGCTCTCTCCAGGCTCTCCATCCCCCAGCGACTCCGCAGGGAGAAGGGAGAAAGTAGCTCGTTCTTTGCATTTCTGTGTGCGTGGGTCCCTGCCTGTTTAGGACACCTGGGCTAACCTCGGCTGGGAGGAGTTCAGGCATAGTAGAGGCTCAGATGCGTCATAGGCTACTAGGGATAAGGTCGGACTGTTTTGGGCACGTGAGTTATTGTATGGCACTCCCTAGAACTGGATCCTGGCAGCTGTTCCCTCCAAGCTAGAGGCCCAGAACCGGAGGGAGACCCAGGAACTTGCCAGAGGGTCCTGTGTGGGTGAACGGGACTTAGACTAGTGGGGCTGGTTGGCTGTGGTGTGGTGCTGTAAGGAGGAGTTCCTACGGGATCCAACCAATGGCCTTATTAATAAATACAATGTTGTAGATGAGGGAGGGATATGAAATTAGCAAATTAAGTCCAGAAGGGATTCTTGGGAGCATACGTTAACTTTTTTACCCCCTGCTGAAGTACAGACCCACAGTTCTATTCAAGTCTTCTGCAGTGAAGTGTGGGAGGAAATCCAAGATATCACGCAGGCTACAATGCATATATAAGCTGACGTTTAGAGAGCTGGCTTGGTGACGACATCAGGTTCCCAATTCCAATCAGTCCCTCCCACCTCCACCCTTCTCTCCCTCACCCCAAAAGAAACACCTCCGAGGACAAACTTCCAATTATGAAACCCTCTTAGTCTTTGCAGAGACAGAAGACACTGGGCCAAAGCTCCGTCTTCACTCTTTCTCCTATGCTTTCTATGGAGGGCGATGACAGTTAAAGTCTGAGAATAGAGAGCTCATCACACTCTACCTTTGAAAATCAGGCTCAGTCCCCTGCATTCACATAAAAAGTCGCTCACTCTAAAAGCAGTGTGTTCACACTTATCCCTGAGCCTCCGTACATGTGCATATTGGCCCACGCAGGGTGTCGCCCCATTCAGAGAAGGACATAGGTCTACACAGGGCTAGCTTCAAAGCATATGCAATCCCTACGCTCCCAAACTGTAGTGCTCAGAGTAGGATGTTCCTTGTCTGTAAAGAAAAGGTGGCCAGTTTGTATGAGGGAACAGCATGGCAGAATTAGAAATAGAGAAAAGGAGGAGGGCTCACACTTGGGGATCAACTTGGCTCGTTTTAAATTATAGTCAGACTGTCCCTGAGTTTGTTGCCTCCCTGTGGATCCTGGCCTTGACTGTCCTCAATGAGAAAGGATGTGCATAGTCCTGAAGTAACTGATGTGCTTGGGGAGGGAGTCCCCTTCTCAGAGAAGAAGAGGAGAGTTGGGGATGAACTTGGAGAAGAGGGCTGATATTGGGATGTAACATTAATAAATAAATTAATTAATTAAAAGATAAATTATAGTCTTAGAAGCTCCGGTGGCACAATCTGTTAGCACATAGTGTATTTTTTACAAGATGTAGCCTTAGAAATAGAGTGGTGATTTATTTTAAATTCCTTCAAGGGAATTTCTTTTGTACTGTATTAGACTTATGTAAATATGATAACTGAAGGCAAGTAGATAAAGGACCTCTTTATACTTTTATTATTGTGTATATATTGTATGTGTGTGGTGCATGTGTGTGAAGTATATGCATATGTGTATGCATGTGGACAGCCATGGGAGCCAGAGGAAGACAGCTAGTGTCTTGCTCTATCCTTCTCTGTTTCAAAGAAACAGAGTCTCTCACTGAACCTCCAGCTAGGCAGGCTGGTGACCAACAGTCTCCAGCAATTCCCCTGCCCCATCCCTCACAGCTCTGGGGTTCCACTGATATCAAGACACAAACTCGAATCTTCCGTGCTTCCATGACAGTGCTCCTCTTATCCCCTGGCTGTCCCTCCTGCTCTTTTGCCTTGTGCTTTCTCTACTGCAGTCCATGACATCCACATGGTTGACTCTAGGGAAAATGGGTCTATGCATAGATGGCAACCAGTGAAAGCTGAGGTGTTAGGAAGACTGCAGTACATCTCGTGATTTCATGATTCTCATGTCCTAAATGAAGCATGTACAGAAGAGCCACATTGCTAGCGCAAAAATAAAAATTATAACTGATAAACTACTGAAATAACCATCCAGTTTAAAACATCACCACCATGGACATGTGAAATCACTTTAGGGAAAGTGGATGATTAGACCAAACGCTCAGAGCAATGACCCTGGCGTCTTTTTTTCTCCTGGTTACTTCCTGGCTCCCACTGTTGAATATCCATATCTCCATGGGATCATCCATCCTGCTTCAGGACCATGTTCATTCATCTCTGTAGCTGATACTGGCCTGCAGAAATGGCCCAGGATAGCATGTAAGCCAGCTGTATCTTCCTCTCATTATCTTGTAAAGTATGATCATTATATTTTCTAATTTTTAAAGTTCAGGGTGCATGACTTATGCAATCCCAGAATGTAACTTCAGAAACAGTTCAAAGGGCCTTTCTGGGAGATACTAGGGCCTATATGCTTCCTCAGAACCAGCTGCTGCTGCTGCTGCTGCTGCTGCTGCTGCTGCTGCTGCTGCTGCTTCTTCTTCTCCTTCTCCTTCTCCTTCTCCTTCTTCTCCTTCTCCTTCTCCTTCTCCTTCTCCTTCTCCTTCTCCTTCTCCTTCTCCTTCTCCTTCTCCTTCTTCTTCTTCTTCTTTTTGTTTTGTTTTGTTGGGATTATTTTTTGTTTTTTGTTTTTTTGTTTTGTTTTGTTTGTTTGTTTGTTTGTTTTTCGAGACAGGGTTTCTCTGTGTAGCCCTGGCTGTCCTGGAACTCACTCTGTAGACTGGGCTGGCCTCGAACTCAGAAATCCACCTGCCTCTGCCTCCCAAGTGCTGGGATTACAGAACCAACTTCTTGAAGTAGGGTTCCCTTGTCTAAGACAGTAAAGCACTCTATAGATAGAGGTGTTTGGCAAGGTAGCTGGTTGAAAGATAGGATGATTCATCTGTATTTATGATAGAATTGAAATGCCAACAAGACAACTAAAAAGAATTCCTGTTAGAAATAAAAGGTGACTGTTACATGGGCCAGGGATACTCAGATATGGATGTCAGTGCTATGGGAATAGTTGAGGTCCCAATGTAGGAGACAGAACTCCCCAAGAGTTCTTATTTATTTGTTTATTTATTTATTTATTTATTTAATGTATGTGAATACATTGTGGTTCTCCTTGGACACAACAGAGGCCAGAGGAGGGCATCAGATCCTATTACAGATGGTTGTGAGCCACCATGTGGTTGCTGGGAATTGAACTCAGGACCTCTGGAAGAGCAGTCAGTGCTCTTAACCTCTGAGCCATCTCTCCAGCCCTCACTAAGAGTTCTTAATCATACAGGGATGTCTCCTGATCTTCATCAGTACTCAACCTCTTTGACTTTCATTTTTAGGGGAGAATTTGCACTTAATATAACAACATTTCTAACATATAAGAAGTTCATTCAAATTTTAATCACCAAGATTCAAGTTGGTAAATAGGCAGACATCGATCACACTTGAACATAGGTAAGCAATAAACAAAATAAATGGGGCAATGTTGAGTCACAATAATAATGGAAAATTAATTTTGAAATGCCTATGGCATGCATGTTGTTACTGACTTAAGTAGATTTCAAACTTTTCCTAAAAGATGTGTTTTTATTATTTTGAATTGTATGTATACGCATATCTTTGTGTGGGCATTTGCATGTGACCATAGAAACCAAAACAGGGTGTAGAATTCTCCAGAGGTAGAGTTTTTGGTGGTTGTAAGCTGCCTGATGTGGGTTCTGGGAACCACAGTTGGGTTCTCTGCAGAAGCGGTATGCATTCTTGACTGCTGAGCTATCTCTCCAGCAACTCTAAACCTTACAGTGACCAAGAACACAATTTGGATAAACCTGGCCTTTGACCCAGTTCTCCATTTCTTAGATATTTATTAGTAGGAGGCTTGAGTAAGAGGAGATAACTAGAACAGCCTTTATTAAATACTAGCTTTTACATAACAATAGTAATTATTGTCCTAATAACAACAGCTAACATTTGTTAGGCACATACCGTATACTGATCATCGCACTAAACCTGCTGTGCAGAGTTCATGAGTCTTTCCAGTGAGTGTCTCCATTCCACAGAGAAGGAAACTACTTATAAAAGTTGAGGATCTTGGTAAGTCGTAGAATCAGAATTCAAATCTAAGTCTATCTTAAAATTATTTTGCCTATCATCATTGAGTAATAGTCACAGCCATTCCTTGGGTCTAGCATTATGACATTTAACATGGTTAAGGAACCATGAGTATTATAGTTTACAAAATACAAATCTGAAATGTGAGCCAAGATCAATGTGGCTCTAAATAACTTTTATCTTTCCCATATTGAATGTATACATATTTATCTATATATATTTACATCTGCATGGACTTTTATGTATTTACTTTTATTTTCATCCTAAATCTGACCAACATAAATTTTTGTTTTTCTTTCTTAAAAGCTAACAATAGGGGCTAGAGTGTTGGCTCAGTAATGAGCACTGGCTTTTTCTGTGGAAGATCTGGGTTCAATTCCCTGCATCCACATGGTGGCTCACCAACATCTGTTACTCCAGTTTCAGGGTATTTGATACCTCCTTCTGATTTCCACAGGCAAGACATGCCTCAGTGAGACCCCCCCAGGGATCCAGGTTCAGTGAGAGACCTTGCCAATAGATAAATAAATAAATAAATAAATAAATAAATAGGCAGAGGAAAGATTAAGGAAAACAATCAACTTCAGCCTGTCTGTCCAGCCACACATTTATATATACAAACACAGATACACACTAAAAATGCATATTTGTGCATTTAAAATCAGAATCTTGCATTTTATTT